ATACATTAACTCTATGTTGCAAACAAGGATTGCCGCATGACTTTAAGCTTATTGCATTTTGACTATATATATTGTCTTAAGACTGCATGATTGAAAAAATCTGGTTGAAGGAACCTTTTACAATGGGCCTTTTGTATTTTAATTTCAAGTAATACCATATAATTTGGGTGAGCCATTGTGATCCTGAGGAGCTTGAGCTACATACATATATATATCCTGTTTACAAGTAAGTTTTCTGGGCCTTCAATTCCTAATGCCTAGAATGAGATTTTAAGGATTTTCTTCAATTACATTTAATTTCGTTTATTCCATTTCGCTGCATAATTTTGAGTAATTGATTACAAGAATAATGGTATGGCCATTTTGGCATATTAGTTGAATGGTTGAACTAATTTGAATATAAATGCTTCCTATGTTTTTCACATTGATTTTGCAAACTAACTTTCCCATACATGTTAATTAAGTTGATGTTCACGCTTCCCTTTATCGTTATGCTTAGAAACACCCCTCTTCAGAAATTAGAAATCAGAATTTGTTTGATTTCAATTCAAGTTTGTAACGTTTGTCCTTTTTGACCTTCATCTTCAAACATAAAATTGCATTAGCTGAGACTCTGTATTTGATAAATTTCTCAAATACACACAATTGAGATTTTGGAGAATTTCTTCAACGACGTCATTTGCAAGTAAAGTAACTCTTTTGAATTCTCTTGTTTGCTATAAGTACATGTTTGGTATGACTGATTACCTATGACAAATTATGAATACTTATGACATGTTATGATTCACGTCAACTGGGACACTAATACTATGTTGATTATCGTATAACGTCTTGCTTGTGGTTTAGTGGATTCAACTTAAGTTTAATGAATTTTGCTATATTTGAGTGAGAAATCAATAAAAGTATTTATAAGTCAGAAATAGGACATGTTGAAAAGGCAAGAAACTCACATGAAAAGGAAAACCATTCATGTCACTAACCTGGGCTTGATAAACATCCTATTTTTTTTAGAGACTTTCGTAACTCCAAACCTTATGTAATTGTTTTCTTGTAGTTCAAAATAGATTGTATATACTGCAATTTTTCACGTTTTTGGGACATCGAATAAATTTATAGCAAAGTGCTAAAGGTGATACCACGCTGCTGGAATTCTGTAGACTTCAGCAGCAAAGTCTGTTTGTGATATTATTTTGATGTACTTCTACAACTCCTAAATTCATAAAATTTTATTATGATATATATTAAGATGTTTATTTTAAATCTGGAAATTTTCACTAGCAGTGGTCTGAAAATGATTTATTGGTGAAGTTTTAATCTCAGGAATGTACTGCAGAATTTATGCATCTTCTGCAGTACATTCCATTTCGATTTTATTTTTAGCCCACTTTTAGAATCGAAAAAATTATGGAATTTTGGGTGACAGTAAATTTATATGTCTACTTCATTTCTGGAAATTTTCATACACATGGAGAAAATTTGAATTTTTTGAATTATTTAGTCTCCGGTATGTACTGCAGAGTTTTTGCCGTTTCTGCAGCACATCCTATTTCGTATTTTCTTTTAGTACACTTGTAAAGTGTCAAAAATTACGAAATATTGGGAATTAACAGATTTGTATGTTTAATTATTGTCTGAAAATTTTCATGCATATCGGATGAACAATGAATATTTGGTGAATTTTAATCTTAGGTATGTACTGCAGATTTTCTGTAGTTTCTGCAGCACCTCTCTTTTCGAATTCATTTTTGGCTCGCTTATAAAATTTTAAAAAATCATGAAATTTTTCAAAACAGCAGTCATATATGTCTAGTTCATACCTAAAAATTTTCATGACAATCTAAAGAGAATTGAGTTTTTAGTGAATTTGCAAACTAAAGTGGTATTGCTGAATTTTTTGTACTTCAAAAACTAGTTATGTTATGCAATATTGTTTTCACTAATTTGTGCATATCCAATAGTACCAATTGTTTGACATGTTTATTTGCTCTAATATGTCCTGGTTTTCAATGCAAAATCTCAATTCTAATGACTTTTATTAGTCAACACTGATTAAATTTTGGTTGAAAAGTGTATTGGTTTATTTTGCTCAAACCAATGTTTTGTTTGGTCATCAATTTTGATTATAATGATTAATGTCTTTTGAGACAAAAATTGGAAAGTGGCATCAATTTACTAATTGATCATTTTGGTCCCTATCGAATAGCTGAATAACCATGTTTCCTTTTTCGAGAACTCTATTGTTCAATAACGACATACTTTTTTGTCTAATTTAATCTTTTGAGAATCATTGAATATCCAACAAAACAGTTATTTAATACTGTTCTAAAGGATTATTTTGACAAATCAGAATTCTAATTTATATGGTGAATACTTTTGTCCCAAAGGGAATTTCAGGAAATCATTTACCAACTATAAATTATTATAGCAACATAAAATGTATTTTGTGTATTTTATGTTTTGGCTAGCTATGCAGGTATTTTCTTTGCATGATTAGTTTATGCCCAAATGTGTAACAATCATGCAATTTGCGTTTGGTTTGATCCTCCACAACTTGACTACTTCCATGATGAATCTTGTAGAATCAAGAATGAGTAGGTAAATTTACCAATCTTTTGTCTTAATTTTCTCTGAGTTCTAAATTGGATTAAAATTATTGTTGAAAAATTGATGTTATTGAGATCTAAGTGTTTATTTTAATCAATTTGTTTTAGAATTAAAACATAAATTTTGAGTTTGGATTCTCTTATTAGGTTTCATTTTAATTTATCACCTAATTTTTAACACATATGTGAGTCTTCTCTGTTACACTAAAATAAAATAAAATTTGTAGTAATTGCATAAGTTTTTATGGAACTTTTAATTTGAGCCTATTAAAAAAAATATATATATATATATATATATATATGTATGTATTTGATCTTTATTGATTCAACTAGCCTATATTTTGTTATATGAAAACCACTTTCTCTAGTGTTTAATCTTGCAATTTTGAGTGTTTGCCCAAGTGGGAGAAATAATGTATTATGGGCTTCACACTCATCAACTTTGCATGTTTTTAATGGTCATAGTTTTGGTAGATAAAATGTACATTATCAGACTTGTTTATATTTTATATATGCAACTAATCTTGCAAGAAATTCAAGAAGGGTTAATGAGTATATTCTGCTCAAAAGTGTTTTGCTTATTAATTCTTGTTTGTTGTTCAAGAAATTGGACTTGTGATTTATTTGTTATCAAGAAATAATTAATCTGCTCAAAAGTGTTTTCTTATTCAGTACAACTATAAATCAATGTATAGTGAAACATGGAATTGACAAGATTGTATATACTTCATCTGCTCAAAAGTGTTGAAGCTATATAAGTTTACCCTTGTATTTTATGTTTTAGCTATGCAAACCTAATATAATTAGTTTATGTCCGAAGATGATTCTGGAATTATATGTTTTTGATGCGATAAGAAAACATTTAGTTAAAATTTTCTATTTCTGTCCAATGTTAGATGAACAAAATTGATCAAATAATTTTGTATAGTTTTTCAGTCACAAGAGTCTCTTCCCTACAGATATCTAGAATAAAGATGTTCAGCTCACAAATTTTATGTTCTATATTCCATGTTAATGTTTTGCTAGTGGGGAGTACTTGAAAGGTATCTGTTTCATTTTGTAGGCATTTATAAAGTTTTTTTACTCTCTTAATCAGTGGGAGTAATAATTGTTTATCTCTGCTAATCAGTGGGAATAAGAGATTACCTTTTGTATTAAAAACTTGAAGTGTTAGTGGTTGATACTTTAAGAGTAAATTTTGTTTAAATTTTGTTCATAAGTTTTAATAAGAGGTCCTGATTTTGTAAACAATATGTCGTATTTTACTTGTTCTCTTATCATATTCTAAATTAACAGAAAAGTTGGATTTTGTTACCAACGATGTTGAGTTCTTTTGTGAACTACTTGTGTACTGAAATATATTTTTCATATTTTCAGTTCGACTGTTGTGAGCTAATGTTTTGACTATTAGCTCTTGACATCATGACTTTGTTAGCAACACAGTGCTTTAAGTTGAATGTGTATGTGATCTTGGAGTGCAAGGAACATACCAAGTTGTTCTTTGTTTTCTTTGGTTTTGCATTCTATTCAAAGTGACAGGTTGCTAGGAAAGGTTATTGCATACTTATGAAGACTCAGTGATCACCATGATTTCTTATTTTGTTAGGATGAATCATTGACATTCAAGTGGGAGAATGTAAGATCATGAATGACAATGAATGTTGTATTGTATCATTTTGTTGTAAGCCACTTGTCTACCAAGTTGTTAGCAACCAAAGTGATCCGATAGTCCTAACATAATAAGGAATATGGAGTCTTATCCCTTGCAATTAACCTAAAGGAAATCTGATAGATTTTATTACGAAGATGTAGAATCATGGTGGGACTTAAACACTAGAGAGATAGGGTCAATCTTCACAGCCAATGATAGGTCAGGTGTGTTAAAAACCCTAACGATATAAATATCACAGTTAAGTCCCTGCTTCCATACGATTGTACTCTCAATCACGCCAAACCCTATTCATGGTAGAGAGACATTTTGAAGTACTGGAAGTAGAAGACAAACTGTGAGCTCAAGCCACCATGTCTCCAATCGGTGCAGGTTAGTATCATTCAACAAGAACATAATCTTTAGACACAGATGAAGCATTATGACCTCGAAAAAATGACGCAAATGACGCCTGGTGCAAAAGATGAGAAGCAACCGGACTCATCCTTTCTCCGTGAGACGGTGAGAGCATCTGCTTCACTTCTCCGGAGGATATGACTGAATCCGTGCGTTTTGTGGTCAAATCTGGACATAGCTCTCTCCACACACAATAAAGCAGCATCTAGAACTGATTAGTAATTATATTACAAGAAAATAGCATGCTTGAGAAATGACATCGTATTTTTACACATAAATAAATTCGATGATCGATGATTTCCATCTACACCGTTTACACAAAGCATACGGCAAGAATCAAACCGCAAGAAACAATGATAGATTGTCAAGGAATGCCAAGTTTCTGTACAAACACGAACACAACATATGTAGGAACTGCATATTGGTACACTTAAACACAGAAATCAGAACAAATGGCAGGACCCTTTGCTACCAATCTTCCTTCACAATTTTTTACTTCTCAAGTACGAGCTTCCCTTCTTTATACTTATGCGATGCCTCATAAACTCGTTCGTACTTCCAGCCCAACACCTCATGGCAATCACCACAGTGGATATCAGCAACGTTATGCAGACCAGTTAACATGTATCTGTCTTTTTTGCCCCATCAACAACATTCCTTGCGTGGGAGAACATAAATGCTTGGCCATATTTTCCCTATAAACAAATTGTTGGAAAACAACGTTGGACCAAAAATAATATGCCCACATCCTGTAATAACACCCGAATATGAAATGAAACAAAGCATTCAGATTTTTTAAGCAGATGCAATACATTCATCTTACAAGATCTGGCACAAAGAGCAAAGAAAGTGTCCTATTCACGTAAAGATGGAAAGCTATCTTCTTATGTTCATTCGGTTCATTTATTGATTACAGCCAAGAACCCTCATGATGAGCGATAAAGAAATACAAAGAACAAAAAGCATAAGAACCTACAGAGACAGTTGACACACCAATTTCAATTATTCTATGAACTGTACCCTCTTTGTGCAAGGGATAGTGATTTTCACACTCGTTTTCTCCTCCTACACTCTTCTCCCGAATCCTATTATTGATTCTCCCTTACTTATTGAATCCAAGAGCTAGAGGAAAATAAAAGAGGAGGGCGTGCAGAGGGAGAAGAGGGACTGCGGTAATGTGCAGCGTGAAGTTGTAATGTGCAGCATGTTCATAGAGTGCGTAATTTTGTAGCATGTTAATAGAGAGCGTAATTTTGCAGTTGATAAGTTAACCAAATTGGGTTTAAATAGTGAGATGGAGTTTTAAGAGCCTGCGGAGCCTCCTCCCTGTGTAGTTCAAACTTTTCGGATGACTGCTCTGAAGTTACTGTAGCTAGATTAGTTATTTCTTAATGTTTCTTTTTCTTCTTCCACGTTACCAAAAAAAATTAACAAACCCAGCTTAAAAAATTGATTAAATAAGTGATTAGGAAGGGGGAGTTGGAGTCTTTGAAGTGAAATTCATAGGATAAATAAAATAAGATAAAAACCCATTAATTAATTGGGTATTAATATGGGAAGGGATAAGGATCTGACCTGTTTAACCAGTCACTAAATGTGATTAAAAAATGGTGAGAGAGTCGGGAAATTGCTTTGTTCTTTACTTGTAGAATTGACTCAATTGATTACTAGCTGTTAAGCACTACAAGCAAAGTCGGGAAATTGAAAGAGAAACTGCATTAAATTCACAAGGAAAAGAAACGCACCAACCTTTTAACGGAGGATGACTGAGAGACTTGAGGGCTGAGGTTCATGGTTGCGTGCAAGCTCTACGAGAGAGAGGGAAGGAGAGAGAGAAAAAAAGAATTTTGAGAACTTCTGGAAAACTTTTGGTACTGTTTACTTTAACAAAAAATCACATTTTTACATTAAAAAGTTAATTCTGATACTATTCACTTTATCCTCTATTTTGTTATTATTATTAAAATTCAAAGTTTTCAAGCTTTTTTCATTAGTTTTCTTAATAATTTTCTGCAATAATTCAAGTAAGATGGACTTGGTTGAGTCACAAAGAGCAGAGTTATGGGCGCTCTGATAGAGAGGCTTAACATGTGAAAGTTTACCCACGTTGTAGGAATTTGCGTTTTCAAGCATTCAATAACATGTAGCGTACTCTCCTCGTATTTCAGACACAATGAAAAATTTCTTCCAGTACTTTGCTAGTGTAAACAAAGTAGCCCCTAGTTTACTCCCAAGTGTCAAGCGCTATACCAATAACATATAGTGTATTGTCCCATGTTTCAGACACAGTGAAAAATTTGTTCAGTGCTTGGCTAGTGTAAACAAAGTAGCCCCTAGTTTATTCCAAGTGTCAAGTGCCATACCAAGGGAGCCCCTAGTTTATTCCAAGCGTCAACTGCTATATTAGGGGAGGGAGGACTAATATAAAACATAGACGTAGTAGGATGTCTCAAATTACAAAAATTATAGTTATTTGTTTTTGATCGAGGACTTAATGGAAAAAACAATGGAGGAGTTTTTGATATTCAGAACAATATAATCTTGACATTCATGTTTATGTAATTTTATTTCTGTGTCAATAATTTCAAGCAGTGTTTTAACTAGTCAACAGTATTAACAAGGTACATTTTGCTGGAAATGTTTAAAATATATGGAGAACATGTCATCATTGGTACATTTGATGGTAACAACGCATTATTAACGACAAATTGATATAAAGAACGATTGTTGTTTCATAGTCGGACTAATTTAAAGATGTTTCTTTGACCATTATATCTACAGATGAAGTCCCGGGAAGCAAAACACCGATAAGGAAAGTATGAAAGCAAAGAACTTTACCGCAAGAAACAATGATAGATTGTCAAGGAATGCCGAGTTTCTGTACAAAGAAGAACACTGCATATATAGGAACCTGCATATTGGTACACTTAACACAGAAATCGGAACAAATGGCAGGAACCTTTGCTACCAATCTTCCTTCACAATTTTGGACTTCTCAAATATGAACTTCCCTTCTTTGTACTTTTGCAATGCCTCATAAGCTCGTACGTACTTCCAACCCAACACCTCACGGCAATCACCACAGTGGATATCAGCAACAGTATGCAGACCGGTTAAGAGACGTCTGTCTTCTTTTGCCCCAACAACAACATTCATTGCGTGGGAGAACAGAAATGCTCGGCCATGTTTTCCCTATAAACAAATTGTTGGAAAACAACGTTTATCACACCCGAATATGAAATGAAACAAAGCATTCAGATTTTTTAAGCAGATGCAATACATTCATCTTACAAGATCTGGCACAAAGAGCAAACCAAGTGTCCTATTCATGTAAATATGGAAAGTTATCTTCTTATGCTCATTCGGTTCATATATTGATTGCAGCCAAGAACCCTCATGATTCACGATAAAGAAATACGAAGAACAAAAAGCACAAGAACCTACAGAGGCAGTTGACATACCAATCTCAATTATTCTATGAAATGTACCCTCTTTGTGCAAAGGTTAGTGATTTTCACACTCGTTTTCTCCTCCTACACTCTTCTCCCGGATCCTATTATTGATTCTCCCTTACTTATTCAATCCAACAGGTAGAAGAAAAAAAAAAGAAAAAAAAAGAGGAGGGTGTGCAGACAGAGAAGAGGGACTGCGGTAATGTGCAGCATGAAGTGAAACATGAAGTTGTAATGTACATCATGTTAATATAGAGCATAATTTTGCAGCTGACGAGTTAGCCAAATTGGGTTTAAATAGTGAGATGGAGTTTCAAGAGCCTTTCCTTGTTTAGTTCAAACTTTTTCGGATGACTACTCTGGAGTTGCTACAGCTAGATTAGTTGTTTGTGTTTCTTTTTCTTCTTCCATGTTACCCAAAAAAAAAAAAAAAAGGAAAAAGTAAGAGTGATTACGGAATCACATGAAACCCTACGCAAATCAGTTTAAAGTTCGACAACAGTCAATGATCAGTTGGGATTGGGAAGAACTAGTAAAAACTCCAAAGAAGCAAAAATTCAAACCTCATTTTCTCAAAGAATAAAAAACAAAGAAAATTAAACAATTAGAATTGTGGAAACCTCACCTGAAAGGCCTTGGAAATTATATCATCATGAAGTGAGACATGATTTCTGCAATTACAACAGCTGTACAATCTAGGCCCTACCAAATCCGCCATTAACAAACAAATTCACAGCTCTAAACACCTCTCACTGCTCGGCAACCAGAAAAAAAAAAAAAGCAAAAGAGAGAAAATTTACACACAGGAGAGTAAAATTCTGTAAAAATTAAAATATGAAAATGAAAATGTGGATTAAGAGAAAGATTATAAATTTAATTACCTGCAACAAGATCAAAATTGACCTAGAAACCTGCAATCAAAGATACGATTACCAACCGAGTTAGCGTGCAAGATTCCAAAGGTAAAATATATAATTTTAAAAATTTGAAAAATTGAATTTTGAAAGAGACAGGATTTGCATTTAAGGGTAAGCTACAAGAACACTGAGAGGATAAAGATTAACAACCCCAGATTAAAAATTGATAAATTAGGTGATTAGGAAGGGGAAAGTTGGAGTCTTTGAAGTGAAATTCATGGGATATAATAAAATAAGAAAAAAAACCCATTAATTAATTGGGTATTAATATGGGAAAAGTCCGAAGGGATAAGGATCTGACCTGTTTAACCAGTCGCTAATTGTGATTAAAAATGATGAGATAGTTGGGAAATTGCTTTGTTCTTTACTGGTAGAATTTAATCAATTGATTACTAGCTGTTAAGCACTACAAGCAAAGTCGGGAAATTGAAAGAGAAATTGCATTAAATTCAAAAGAAAAAGAAAAGCAGTAACCTTTTAAGAGAGAGAGAGAGAGAGAGATAGAATCTTCTGCAAAATCTCCGTTTCAACATCTAACGTACTGTTCTGTATTTCAAACATAAAAATCTTTATCAGCGCTAGTGTAAACAAAGTAGCCACCTAGTTTATTCCCAACTGTAAACTGCTCTACCAGTGGAGCCCCTAGTTTATTCCAAGTGTCAACTGCTATACCGGGGGAGGGAGGACTAATATAAAACATAGTCGTCAAGATAACAATGTCTCAAATTACAAAAAATTTATGGTGCTTCAAAATTTTTACCGTTAAATTATAGTTATTTACTTTTGATCAAGGACTTATGGACAAAAAAATGAAGGAGTGTTTTTATGTTCAGAACAGTATTATCTTGACATTCTCATTTATGTAAATTTTATTTGCGTGTCCATAATTTCAACGGTGTTTTAACTAGTCAACAACATTAACAAGGTACATTTTGCTGGAAATGTTGAAACTATATGGATAACATGTCATTGGTACATTTCGATGGTCACAACACATTATTAACGACAAATTGATATACAGATTGTTTCATGGTCGGACTAATTTAAAGATGTTTCTTTGACCATTATATCGAGAGATGAAGTCCTGGGAAGCAAAACACCAGCAAGGAAAGTATGAAAGCAAAGAACTTCACCAATGGGGTTCATCAACCTTCAAGTCCATATATTACTAACATTAGTTTCTGCTGAACATATGCAGAGAATCAACAAGAAGAAGCACAAATTATCCCCAAACGATCGTAAACCTTCGAAAATCGAATTATTTTAGCGGAAGTTATAGAGTAAAAGGATCACGACACCGACTCTTGTCATGCGTCATGGGGGGATTTATTGGTACTGCTTAGAAATCTTTGCTCTCTCGATTATAAATTTCCCTTGCTTGTACATCTGAGTCTGCTCATAAGCTCGAATGTACTTCCAACCTAAGACCTGGCCGCAGTTGCTGCAATAGATGTCAGCAACTGAGAAAACACCAGTTATGAGCTTCCTGTCCTCCTTTTGTCCCACAATGACGTTCATTGCATGAGAGAACATGTATGCCGGCCCTGATTTTGCCTAAACAACGAAATCCGAACGATAAATTGTAAGTTCTTCCAGGTCATAGAAGTGTTTTATGCAGAAGCACTTCCAACTGCTTTTTCAAGAAGCACTAGAATTTTTAATAAATATTTTCATGTATTTCTATTAAAATCACTTCTAGCAAATAGTTCTCAACCTAAATTGGAGTGAAAATAATAGACTAAAATACATTAACCATGTTTCAGTTTTCACCAGAAATTTCTTGGAGATGAGGTCGTCACGAAGAGCAAGAGGATTATGGCAACTTCTGCAGCTGAAGAAGGGACCGCCGCCGGATTCCGCCATTAAACTGAAAGATTTCGACACCACGTTAAAAACAATCAGACCCGATTCAAAACACAGCCTATATATATATATATATATATATATATATACACACACGGAGGATAAAAGTGGAAGAAAAAGAATTGAAATCTTCATACGTGGAGGAGTATGAAGAGATTATGCTCCCAAAAATTGAAGAAGCATAAGGAGTGGGGGGGGGCAGATTTGTAGAGTTTGGAGAGTTGACCGGAAATAGTGTTTCAGCTGGAAAAAATGGATGAGGGTGATGAAAAGGATAAGGCTGGTTGATGAAAAGTACACAAAATAATAATATAATTTTGTGGAATAATGGAAATCAAATCATCTATATCGAGATCGAAAATAATACTCGACGACAAGTTGGTAAGAATTGTTAGAAGTGGTTGAAGTCATCTTTTCTTTGGTCAAAGGCACTCAACCAGTTTTTGGAATTCTAAGCGTTTGTTAGGAAGTGTTATTAAGATAACTGAAAACGTTTTTTTGCAAATAGTTATAATCTCAACCAACGTAATGCAAAATTTGATACTTGTTCATAATCTCAACCGGTGTTTAAACTAGTCAACAATATTAATAAGTTATGTTTAATTTTGCTAGAAGTATTGAAAATATACAGATGACACGTTTTTAAGTTTTGATTGGAACAACGATATCGATAGGTGAAACAAAACATCAATAAGAAAAGTAGAAAAGCAAAGAACTTTACCAATGAGTTTTGAGTTTTGTCAACACGTAAAGTGTTGTATCAATTGACTAAAAGTTTGATGCCATTGATAATTGTGTATCAATGTACTATTAACTTCAAAATGTATCAATATTTTGTTGATAGCGTATCGGTATTCTGTCAATACAATTGATAGTGTATTGGGGGTTTGCTTTTCTTCTCTCCCACTAAGAGATTTTCTCATTGTGTGTGTGAGTTTGCCCCTTCTTTTTTTTTTCCAGATTTCAGTTTTGCTACCTACCCTAGCTCCGGCTGGGGTAGGTGGTAGCCTTTTCCTTCATTTTGTTCTCCCCTTCCTTTCCTTCTCCTCTGTTCTACCTACATATTCACACTCGTCTTCCATCATCAATCTATGTTTTCTTCCGATTCTTCCTTTATGACTTCACTCCATCCTTCATCAATTTCTTCCCAAATTTGGTTTGCAATAACTTTTGACCACATTTTGTTATGGTTCATCGGGAAGGTGTGTAGAGTTTTCGGTGTTTGCATCGGCTCGAGTGTTCGCACCACCTTCTTTCCTAGGTCTGCCTTTGGTGGCAGTGTTGCTTGTGGGAATCCCACTAGGTTCTTTGATTTCTTCTCTTCGTGGCTGCAATCGGAAAAGGACTAGTTGCTGGATGATGAAGTCTTATTTCCTACCTTTTTTGAGGCATTGTTTGGTTTGAATTCTGGCGTTCGTCAGGGTAGATGGGTCAAGCTGATCAAGAGGAGATGCAGCGGCGTTAGTAGAAGAAGGACTAGGGTTTCTTTCGGTTTGTGTGTGTATTTGGGCCTAATCACTTGGTTGGGCGTTTGTTGTTTGGTTTGGAAAGTCCCATTTTGCTTTGGGTACATGTATTAGACCTTTGTTGTAAATTTGTTCAGTTAGTAATAAAAGTTTGGAAACTTTAACGAAAAATCACATTTTTACACTAAAAAGTCAATCATGATAATATTCAATTTACCCTTTATTTTGTCCTTATTGTTAAAACTCAAAGTTTTCAAATTATTTTTATTAGTTTTCCTTAAAAGTTTCACCATGTTCTGCCATGTGTTTTACCCAACAAAAAAAAATATATATATATATAGAAGTCCATCTTATTTTTCAATACAATGTGTGCAATCTACACATTACTGCCCACACGTTTACAAATTGATGGCTCTACCATTTTGAGCCATATCCCTTTCACTCTAATTAATTTAAAGAGGAAGTACTAGTTCATTAACTTTAATTTTATTGGAGTAATGATCTTTTAATTAAAAATTTGTGATCATTGGTCTCTTAACTCGTCAAAACGTGTAGTTATGGTCATTTTCGTTAACTCTGTCAAAACTTCCGTCAAAATAAGTTACTTGCATGATACGTGAGACTGAATAAAGGGATAAATAAGTAAAACGAAATTATTTCATGGTGGAACGCGTGGCTTTGCATCAAAATGCAGCTTTGTGCGTCTGATGGTATATTTCCAGTCTGTTTAATAGCCTCCGGCCCTCTTTGTTGCATTTGATCCCATTCCCTCGTGAAATAATATTTTGTTTTCTTTATTTGCCTCCACATTCAACTTTCACGTGTCATACACGTGATTTATTTTGACGTAACGGTACGTTTTAATGAGTTACAAAATTAATAATTATAAATATTTAATTAAGAGACTATTACTCCGATCAAATTAAAACCGACGAACTATTACTAAGATTTCCTCTGAATTTAAGTGACAAAGAATGCAATTTGACAATACAATTGGTTGTAACAATTTTTAGGAATTAAAAAAAAACCAAAAAGACAAGTAAAGGGAAATCGAGGAGTAGAAGTAACTCCAAGAGGTTTGCCCGCTCTGTGCTCTCCTCTCCTACTCTTCCTGTCTCTCATCCTCTACTGGAAAAACCAGAATCTTTCAACTTCCTTTCTCTCCACTCTCCATATCTCTCGCTGTGGAGCCCACAAACCAAGCAGGTAGTGACGGTCGGCAAGCCTCAAACATGGCGGACGCGTACTGGAGGTACAGCGACGGTCGACAACCGCCGCCCTCGGCGATGAATTCAGTCGTTGGAAAGCGTCCTCGCTCCGATTACGGTATGTTAAATTCCTCAAATTTCCCCTTTTTTGGGTTTCCTCTCTCCTTTTTGCGTGCGTTTGGGGTTTATTAAATTAGGGTTCTTGGGGATTTTAGTCTCTTCGTGGTTGCCCTGAGAGCAGAATTGTGAACAAAAAATGGAGATTTCAGCTGACATTTAAGTAGTCGAACTAGGTTTTCAATGGGGAATTGAAATTTGGGATCTTTTGATCTATGTTGTATGTGGTTTAATCACTATTTGATGTTTATGTGGATAAGCTTATTAAGCCATCAATTTCGGCTTTCAGATGGGGCTTCCATGGTTATTTTTGAGATATAATTGCTTAGATTACATGATAAATTTGCATTCTTGTTAGTTTTCTGTGCTCTATTTATTTTATCTACACACATTTTAGTGTAAACATTGTTCAAAGCATGCATATGGGAGCTAAAATGAGTATTCCTAATCTCATTATGCACATTCGTGAACATGTTTCGGTCTGTTGTACTGCATCCATGAGGAGGGTAGTCTATATATTTTGGACACCCATTTGTTGGTAATATGACCAGTGTCATATTTGTGCAAGCTGCGTGCTGGCGGGTCCCGGCTCCCAGATCATCTTCGTTATTAGTTTATTTTAAGTGTCAAAATCCCTGGAGGCTGTTAATAATTTTTCATCTTTAATAAATGCCCGGTTTGATTCAAGGATCAGCCTCTTATCTCGAGTTCTGTAAGCCTTAATCGGTGTACAGATTGTATTATACATGAGTTTTTAATTGAAGTTATTTGAAGATATGCTACTATGTAGATCACTACAGTTACTATATAAACTACTAAGCTGCTAGCATTAAATGTGAAAGGAAAATTCAAGTCGTTGTGTTAGCATATGCAATATATTGAGACGTTTGGGTACCTCATGGGCATGTAACAACTTAATTACCTGATTATGACTGATGCAGTAGTTGGTGATTATAGCAATTTGATTTTGTTAGGTCATCAGCAGTTTAACTTAATATTCTCTTGTTTATAGCTTTATGCCACCTACTGCGTTTATAATTATATGCCTTCAAATATTGTTTATTTTCTCTTTTGGTATCCTGAAGTACATCCTTCATCTTTTAGATACCCAGGGTGGTCAAGACCTCCCTAACTATTATCCCCATGAAGATGATAGAGGTTCTATGCGAGGAATTAGAGATACCGACTCCATAAATGCGTCGTATGATCGCTACCTGCGCAATGCGGTACTTACTTTTCTTTTTCTAGAACTGTCACATTTTTCATCATACGTTTGAAGTTTCGGGGGCTAATGTTACAAGTTATGCTTCAGCAAATGTCATCATATAGTGGGGGACAATCTGCTAGAAACATGAGTGGAGGACCACCTGGTCGTGCTGTTGAGGATCCACGCATGATGGGAATTGGGGGTGTTGACCCTGGGGCACCTGCAAAAGATAGGGTCTTAGGAATGGGAAGTGGACGGCCTGATGCTCCCCTTCCTCCTGGTGCTACCAGTACGCTATTTGTGGAGGGATTGCCTCCCAACTGTACAAGACGTGAAGTAGCTCGTATCCTTAAAATTTTCTAGGGGTCGCAGTTTTATAACCCTTTGTGTCATTACTTGCACTTTACCTTTCTCGAGTTTACCTTCACTTAGTTTTGAAGATATCTTTCGCCCTTTCGTTGGCTACAAGGAAGTGAGACTTGTGAGCAAGGAATCCAGACATGTAAGTTTTTCTTTCCCAAGGGATAAGATTGAATGGTTATTGACTGTTGGATTCTCAAATAATTTATCTGTGCAGCCTGGAGGAGATCCACTGGTACTTTGTTTTGTTGATTTTGTGAGTCCGGCCCATGCAGCAACTGCTATGGATGCATTGCAAGGTAAGTTTACATTTTTGTTAAATTTGTTGAAATCATAGCACCATAGTTTCTTTGACATTTCTTATGCCATTGTTGGAGAAGTTACATAAAAAAATTTCTTCACTTCGTAAGAAGATGGACTGCAAAATGATTCATGAAAAAGGAAAGAAAAAAAAAAAGATTTGCATCAATAGTTTGGATTGTTGTTTCGTTTCCTTTCCAAAAAAAATAAAAAAAGTTTGGATTGTTGTTTGGCAGTTTTGTGTAATTAACAAAATGTAATTAACAAAAAGAAAATAAAGGAAAGGCCACTACGTTATCAAATTTTACAATGCAGATAAGATTGTGTTGCTTCAATTCATATGGAAATTTTGTACACAGTATTTGTGAATTTAAACCCCTTTTAACTTCCAAAGCTACCTGACATTTTCAACCACTTAAAAGATTGTCAAACCCCTAGTTTTGTGGCATTTATTTTCCGTTTAAAGTGAGATAACTTACTATTCAAGGCATGTGACTTCGTTTTTTAAGTAGGTGATTCATGGGGCCACTTTCTATTGGCTTTATGAGGTGAACATAGATTACCGCTGCCCATAGGTCTTGGTTTCACCCCTTACTTTAAACTAGAAGTTGATTGGTCAGCAAAGTCATCCAGTACCAGTATACCATAAACCAAACTTTGCAAAATTGTTCCAAACAATGGAAGGGATTGCCTTCATGGTTCATTTTTTATCCTCCAAGATTCTGCGAATGCCTTGAAACTCGTTGGTTTCCTTGGGACTTGATTTTTCCCTTAATTAGTCAAGTAGGACAGCGAGACTGGTGAGAGAAGCCATATAATTTCAGTTTGGCCGCACTTGTAATTCAGTCTAAGAATGCTGCTTGGGACAATGCTGCTCTCGGGATAGTTGTCTCATGTTTTAGCCTACACTTCGTCTTTTGTTCCTGGAAGATGAAATCTCATTATGAGGAGGTTTATCTAGTGAAACTGTATACTTTATGTCAAGAGAGGAAGTGCGTGAACTTCATTTTTGGAATGAGGGAGACCTGTTTTACCCTCTGTCAATCTAGGACATGTGTGGCGAACTCAGGTTTGCTACTTAGGTGTGTTGAAAAATGATAGGTATTAAATATTTAAGATAACGGTTTAACGTCTTTATATCATCTATCTGCTGATACCCTCATTCGGCGTTGAAAACGTACCCAGTTGTTACAGCGTAAATGGTCGAGCTCGATTTTGCAGGTTATAAATTCGATGAGCATGACCGTGACTCAGTCAATTTAAGGTTGCAATTCGCTCGCTATCCTGGTGCGAGGTCAGGTGGTGGGCACCGAGGGAAGCGTTGAATTATGCGGTTTTTCAGGTGATTAACACAGTTTTCGATCCGTACAACCGTTTATATTCATGGCCATTAGGTGCCGAGTTGAAACTAAAAAAAAATCACGCTAAACCGTCAAACGACTCTTCTCTGTAGGACTTGCTTGATTTGGGAGGTTGTGATAGTGAGGGGCGATACAACAAACTTGCAGTTTCGAGAATTAAAGGCGCATAGTTTTAGACTGCTTTTCTGTGTGTAGACAACAGCAGACTTTATTTCCTTTATTTTGATTCGAACTGTTCGGTCTGGTTACCAGTACGATTACATACAGACTATTTCGCCATATGCGATTGCTAGAAAATGTAAACTTATTTGAAGTTAAACATGTTGAAGTCTCCTTGCATTTGCATATGCATATGCTCTGTGATTAGGGTCTAGATTTGATATTATTCCTCGATGAAGTGTGGTAACTGTTGTAGGTTTCATTTTACTGTACTGAAAGTAACTGGCTTTCGTCGTAACTGTTGTAGGTCTCATTTTGTATTGAGAATAACTGGCCTTTTCTGTGTCATTGCTCATTTTCTCTCAAAGATGTCGTGAATTTTGTTCGTCGTAGATACTAGTATGTGAACTCTATGTAGCATTCTTGCGTTTGATTTTCGAGTCTTCTGACTGGGTTTGGGTTGAGTTGTAGATGCATCGAATCCTAACATGATTCGATTGTGATCCACTAGAGTCTACCGTAGAATCGAAGAATTAACATGGTTTCGGAAGATCTGTCTTAAGGGATGTCTTTGGATTTCACTGACTGTTGGGGAAACTGGCAGCTACTGTGTTCTGCACTTGTACTGAATTAGGAGCATGTTAGGGCTTGATTCTTTTACTAACTTCATACTCTCTTTTCACGGCGCGACGTACTAATCTAACGGAGATGTTCTACGGCAGGGGGGGGTCGAAGTTGGGTGCATGTCGGTAGCACGCATTCATTTTTAGACTAGTCGCACTATGCAGTTGGAAATTAATGGTTTCATGTGCTCTGAGAGGTCACATTTTCCTGCATTTGGTCATTCACGTAACCCATAAATGTCATTGCCCTGCCCCCGCAAAGGCCCTACCTTCTCGTCAGCTATGAATGTCGAAGACAAAGAAAAGAGCGACAACGGGGAACTTTTTCCACGGGTCGTTCAGCAAGCTTAACAGAACATTGAGAGGGACGGTTGCGGTGATGGTGATCTTTTTCCGCTGGAAGAGAAATGCGGCGACTGTTCAAGGGGGACCGTCGTGGTAATGGTGTCTTCATCAAGCTTGTCGGACATCGATACCTTGATATTTTTCCCCACACCAACGTTACAAGTGATGGATTTTGTCCCGGAATCTGTGGGGTTCGCACACCTACGATAGTCCCCGGTCACTCAATTTAAGTTGTTGGATCGGATTTAACGGTTAAACTTGTTAAGACAAACGTCTGTAGGTACTCAAGAAAAATTGCGTACATTAGTTGGGTCGCTGGCTTCTAGAAGTGGAACTGTGGAAGTGGCTCTTCGGTCAAACTTAATAGCCGGAAAGCGCCTTTTGAAGTTTGAATCAGTGGATGGTGGGGTGTAGTCTCACTGTCGAGCTCAAACTTCTTTGTTTGTTTCCAACTTTGGTTTTCCAAGGAACCAATAATTGTTAATTGAAATGGATGCAAGATGGTGACTTTTGAAGTTACGCAAGGCATTTGGATTGTCTCCTCTTCCATTTCTATACTCTTTCCAACTCCTCCTATTTGTTTGTGTGATTACGGTTAAGTCGCGTTAACATTTTATATTGATTTTTTTATAAAAATAATAAAATAAAAAGTAATAAGAATATAAAATGTTAACGTAGCTTAACCGTGTTCACACAAAACAAGAGGGGATGGGAAGAGTATGGAAATGGGAGGGCAGACAATCCACCTCAAAACACACTTACAAAATATTACTCGTTTGTTTGAACGTGTTTTAGTACAATAAATCGAAAATTCTTTGAATTTTAAAAGCGCTTTGTGATTTTTTTAGGAAGCATTAAAAATGTTTTTTAGGATTCATTTGCTTTTCTACCAAGGTTGGTCTCATAAATACATTTACGAAAAATGTTTTCAATCATTTAAATAAATAATAAAAAAATTCAAACGAGCTTTACGTGATTATGAAAAGGGAAAATTACTGTGTGGTTAATTTAAAAAATAAAATAAAAGTTTTATCTTCCAAGGCTTATATAGGGTTGATAAATTTTTTGGGGTGTGCTATCCACACATCTTATTTTACTTCTCACACATCCTTGATAATTTCTGTTCGTTAATCTTCTTCAATTCATCCGATCCGACGGTCGAAAATTAAAAACATGTGTGAGAAGTAAAATGGGATGTGTGGATATCACACCTCAATTTTTTTATCAATTGGTAACAAACATTTAAAAACATTGAACGAAGGACTAAAAAACAAACGCATAATCGCTTGTGATGATTTATGATTAGATTATTACTTCTTTTTTTATTAACGTCTTTATATTTTTATTCGTGACCTCTTGTTGTTTACGATTTAAAAAAAAAAACTAATGAAAAAAGCTTGAAAACTTTGAGTTTTAATGATAAGTACAAAATAAAGGGTAAAGTGAATAGTACCATGATTGACTTTTAGTGTAAAAATGTGGTTTTTCGTTAAAGTGAACAGTACCAGGTGTTTTTCGTTAAAGTTCCTTTTAAAAAATTGGTCTTGGATCTTGATTTCCAATATCCTACGAAAAGATGTGTGGGGTTGGTTAACTACTTGGCTTATTAGTTGACTTTGCTTTGCGCAGAAAGGTATGCCGTTTTATTGACCACGCCAGTTGTAGATAATCCAAATGGACAAATATAAAATTAAGAACCCATCAATTAATCTCATTCTATTAAAATTGAACTAAATTTAAATTAAAAAATAATAATCTACAGAAAACTATTGCTTGGGAGATCAAATGTAATTTAATCAAATTGCAATGTTTGTTTGTAGTTCAGTTGGTTGAAAATATTTTTCCTTACTGTTCGAAGCCGAAATTTGAATTGCCCATCTTCGTATAAGAAAAAACAGGAAGTGAATTAAAATAAATATCCTTGTCTCCATCTTACTATGTACTTGTACTTAGAGCCAACAGGATACCAAAGATCTGTAAATCGTGTCCGTTCATCGTACATTGTACATCGTGCGATCAGTTTTTGTCAAGTAGTGTTTGTGTTTAATTTTAAATAAAAATATTTAAAATAATTTATGACTGTACGATGTACGATGAACGGACAAGATTGACGGATTCCCGGGATCCTTACAAAGAGGATCCGGGTTCTACTTAGAACTAATGGGAGATTCGGTGCAAAATCGAGGGACAACAATATTCTAGAATTTATAAAACTGATCTTACTTAAGAAGTTAAAAGTTTGGTTGCTGTTGTCCCTATCTGTTACTATTAATACTGCTACTAAATCATTAAAATGTGTCTATACTTCTCAATCTCTTCTTTATCTTTTGCATTTAGAATTATTCAGAAAGTGATTTCTATTCCCAATTAAATTATCAAGCCATACCGAAAGTGATGTGATGGAAACCCATAAAATTAAATTTTCTGAAAACAAATATTTATTTTCTTTCTTGTATTTCTTGTACAGGATGTGATATTGTGTGAGCCAAATTTGTTAAAATAAACAGTTTTCTAAAAATCCTTTTAGTTTGGCGGACTTAGGACTCTCAGTCTCACATGCATCTCGAATCTCTCTCTCTCTTAAACTCCTATGCCTAGGAGAATTCCTCTTGTACCGTTGTATCTTATTCACCAGAATCTTTTTTTTATCGCTACATTTTGACCATTTGATTTTTTTATAAAAGATCTGACGGTCATAATGCACCGTGTATACAATATTCCGGGACTGCTGGAAGATCCCGGGGTATACAGAAAGGGTGCAACATACATTGTTGTAATTGAATATGAATACTTGAAAGACGTAGGATCTCCTCCGTTAGGATTCTAAGCATCCAAACCAACCCTAGCTACTCTCGTAGTCCTACTCCGCACTCTCTCTTCTTATATTATATATATATACACACACAGATATACACATACATAATATTCAATACTCCATATTCAACCTAGCCCTCTCTTTCTCTCTGCGTTGTGTGATTTTACACTCACTTCACGGAGCCGACTGTGCAACTATCTATATCTATAGATACACACATATATTGAATATATATTTCACACATTTGCTTGTTTTTCCACTAGGAACGGCAGCAAGCTGTGTTCATGGCTGAGATAGACGCTGCAAAAGTTGATGCCTCTGCGGCGGAGGAGGAGGAAGTTAACGACTGCTCCATCAAGCAGGTTGACTTGACGGTGCCGAAAACCGACGACCCCACCATTCCCGTGCTCACATTCAGAATGTGGGTTCTTGGTTTGTCTTCATGCATCTTGCTCTCCTTTGTCAACCAGTTCTTCTGGTACAGGAAAAACCCTTTGTCCATCAGTTCGATTTGTGCCCAGATTGCTGTCGTGCCCATTGGGCATCTCATGGCAAGGACGCTGCCTACGTCCCCTTTTTTCAAGGGGACGTGGTTCGAGTTCACCATGAATCCGGGGCCTTTTAATATCAAGGAACATGTTTTGATCACCATATTTGCAAACTCGGGCGCTGGAAGCGTTTACGCTACTCATATCTTGTCTGCTGTGAAGCTCTTGTATAAGAGGAAGCTCACTTTTATTCCTGCCCTGCTTGTTATGTTCACCACTCAGGTTTTCTTTTTTTCTCCTTCTTCTTTGGGTTTCGATTGCTTTTGTGTTTTCTTCTTCTTTGTGTTAATGGAATTGCATTTGGTTTTATAGCGGATTATGACTATTTCGTAGCAATATTTGCATATGCTTTTCGTTTCTCTGACAAATATGTTTATAATGTTCAGTATTGTTTTATCAAAATCTATCAAATCTGCTGAATTTTTGTAACAATAATAACACAATGAACTGTTTGTTTCATACCGAAATTACTAATCTGGTGTCTGACCCTGTAGTTTCTGTTGATCTTGTTTGAATTTAGGTGTTAGGGTTTGGCTGGGCTGGAATTTTCCGAAGAATTCTGGTTGATCCGGAGCAAATGTGGTGGCCTTCTAATCTGGTTCAGGTTTCACTCTTCAGGTAAACATATCTTTGGTTCAGTAATAATCACTCAGTCATTGATTTCGTATCCTGTTTAGCAAGTACTCATAGTAGTAAGTCTTTACTGCTGCAGAGCTCTGCATGAGAAGGACAAAAGGGCGAAAGGTGGAATGACTCGTTCCCAATTCTTCCTCATAGTGATGATCTGCAGTTTCTGTTACTATGTCTTTCCTGGCTATCTGATTTACATCATAACATCTTTCTCTTGGGTATGTTGGCTTGCTCCTAAGTCTATTCTTGTCCAACAACTGGGTTCTGGCTTGTCTGGCCTCGGTATTGGTTCTTTTGCGATTGACTGGGCGGCTATTTCATCATATCTTGGTACTCCGCTAGCTAGCCCATGGTTTGCCACTGCCAATATTGCCATTGGGTTTTTTCTTGTCATGTATGTGATGACACCCATCACGTACTTTTTTGATGTCTACAATGCCAAGAAGTTCCCAATATATTCTAGTGACCTTTTCACGTCTAATGGTACCACGTATGATGTTCTGAGCATCATTGATTCCAAGTTTGAACTTGACCGTCCTACGTATGCAAAGTCCGGACCTGTAAATTTGAGCACCTTCTTCGCTATGACTTATGGTCTCGGGTTTGCCACGCTTCCTGCTACGCTTGTGCATGTTCTGCTCTTTAATGCAAGGTAATTTACGTTTGAATCGTTGAACGTTTTCACAAAATGTAAGCATAAGTTAAACTAGAGATCTGCTGTTTGTGAATTGAAGCTGAATTTCATCATACCTTCATTGCAGGGACATTGGAAATGCATTTCGACGACAAAAGAAGTTGGATATCCATGCAAGGCTTATGAAAAAGTACAAATCAGTGCCAACATGGTGGTTTCTCGGCATCCTTGTGGTAAACATTGCTCTTATCCTCTTTGCTTGCCAGTATTACAACGAGTCTCTTCAACTGCCTTGGTGGGGTGTTCTGCTTGCTTGTGCCATTGCCATCTTGTACACAGTTCCAATTGGTATCATCACAGCCACAACAAACCAGGTAACGAAATTAGAACTTTTGTTTATAAGCTAATGCTGTTTGCTGCAAGTTTACAACCGCTTGTTCAAGTTCATGCTAGATAAAGGTTTCTGAAACATTTTTCCGTTCTTTTTTCGTGGTAACAGCAACCGGGTTTGAATATTATCACGGAATATGTGATCGGGTACTTGTACCCGGAGCACCCTGTAGCGAATATGTGCTTCAAAGTGTATGGCTACATCAGTATGGCTCAAGCTTTAACTTTCCTGGCTGATTTTAAGCTTGGTCACTACATGAAGATTCCACCAAGATCAATGTTCATAGCACAGGTCAGTTTCGTTTTTTCGGATTTATCAATTTGCATTACATTTTTGGTTTGAAATCTTCAGAAGCTAACCTCGTGGAATTACAGGTGGTAGGAACGATTGTAGCAGTGATTGTATACCTGGTAACAGCATGGTGGCTGATGGGTGACATTCCAAACCTTTGTGATACCTCCAAGCTGCCAAAGGATAGTCAGTGGACTTGTCCAATGGACCGCGTGTTCTTTGATGCATCAGTTATCTGGGGGCTTGTTGGCCCTCGAAGAATCTTTGGAAACCTCGGTGCATACATGAACGTCAATTGGTTCTTCTTTGGTGGGGCCATTGCCCCTGTGCTTGTCAAGCTTGCACACATGGCTTTCCCCCAACATAATTGGATTCGTCTCATCAACATGCCGGTCTTGCTGGGTGCCACATCCATGATGCCCCCGGCTAGTGCTGTAAACTTTACAAGTTGGATCATTGTTGCATTTCTTTTCGGGTATGTTGTCTACAGGTACAGGCCAGACGTGTGGTCGCGCTATAACTACGTCCTTTCTGGTGGTCTTGATGCCGGAACTGCCTTTGTTACCATATTGATGTTCATTACGCTGCAGAACCGGGGCATTGAACTTAAATGGTGGGGGAACAACGGCGAGGGCTGCCCGTTGGCTACTTGCCCTACTGCTAAAGGGATTGTAGTTGATGGCTGCCCAGTTCACTGACATTAAACTTCATATTTTCAGAAGTAGCATCTTTATGGCTTTTGATGACCTGTAAATATTTTATCAGGGATTCGTTTCTAGTTTTTTCGTTTTATTTCGATATGATATCAATGTTGAAGAACATTTCCATTCTGATTTCAATAGTTCAGATAACTATTTCTCTAGCGTTTGCAGATGATCTTTGTTTTGATTCCTTTTTTATTTCTAACATAAGAATTGAAAACCGAAAACTAAAAACGAATAGTTATCAAATGAGTCATAGATTTTGAGAAAAAATACACGAACAGACTTCCATATCCAATCTAAAAAATCAGAATCCGACGTTCTGCAGAATTCAATAAATATATGATATACAAATCAATCAAAAATAAGAAGATTGTTTGCCAAGCACACCCAATTGAGCAAGAACCTTGGCAGCCAGAGATTTCATATCACTATTTTTCATCTGAGTGATATCCACTAATGCCATATGTGCTGAAGTTCCATACTTTAGATTCAACTCATTCACCCGAAAGATCATTTCCAAAGCCTTGAGAGACTTTCCTTGCAAACTGGGCACTTGTGAACTCAGCAATTTTATAATCGGAGCGATGGCTTTCACTTCATCGAGCACTTTGCTTCCATGCTCTATTCCTTGGTCATCAAGCAATGTCAAAAGTGCATCGAGAGAAGCTTCACAAGCTCCGAAATCTTCCTCACCAAGCAATTTCACAAGGGGTTCCACAGCATTGGCCTTTACTATGCAGAATGAAGATTCCACCGTACAGATGCCTTGGTGTGCAGGGCAGCCAAGTTCCAGTGCAGAGAAGCAGCGCAGGAAAACCGCGCGCTTCTTGATCGGCTTGCTCAAGCTTTTGGAGCTTTCTGATAGCTGTTTAAGTGAAATGGCGGCATATTGTTTTGTCAAAGAAGTTCCAGAAGTTAGTAGCTGCACCAGCACTGGTATAATACCAGCTTCAGCTATTTTTTTCTGCCATTCCTGATTTGTCGAAACTGTGAAATGACAAAGAGCTCCAACAGCACTCTCTGTTGCCCGCCTTCTATACAAGGCATCTCTGTTCCCATCAGTTAGACAATTGCAGATGATTTCAACTGCCTCAGCATCTACAAGCCACTGCGCCATCTGAGCGTCCTTTGGAAGATTAGCAATGATCCCCATTGCAGCAGCTATCTCCTCCACATCATTAGAACTTTTTATAATCCTTAGCAAGGTCTCGACGCACCTTTGACTTACATGCTCCAAGAATGTGCTGCCCTCGCCGTCTTCTGTCAAGGAAAGGAACAGATTCAAGGCATTTGCCCTCACGGTAGGGCTATCAGCTTCGCATAATTGAACCAATACTTGGACAGCAGAGAGCTGTGAATCACATGAAACATCATAGTGGCCATTAGCATGTACAGAATCACATGCCGAAAGAACAAAAAATGCGCGAGAAGTAATTGTGTTACCTGTCTCAACTTTAGTCTGATGTCAAAACCAGAAGAAGATTGGCACATTGCATGGAAGGTTTTGAGAATGTTTATTTGTATGTCAGGTCCGGTTAAAGATATTAGCGAAAAGAGCTTGAAGATTTCTTCTTCAGAGCCTAACAACGATACCTGCTCCTGTGCAGCTTCTTGTGTGGCGGTTGATGTGGCAAGGTGCATAATTGTCTCAGCTACCTGCTCGCGCAAGGTTGGCGATAATAAACTGTGAGAATACAAAAGTTCAAATAGCGGTCCAGCTGCACCTTCTCTAACCATCTGCAGGCCATTTTGTGGTAAGTTGGAGAGGTGAAGAAGAGCCTTGACGCCAACTTTCCTCTTTTCAGTATCACCTTGCGAAAGCAGTTCAAGAAGCTGTCCTAGTACCCCGTCTTTTACAATGGACAGTTTGTTGTGGTCTGTCAGTTCAATTTCCGACAAAGTTCTAGCCATAAGCATTTTAACATCTTCCACTCCTGCATCAAATTTAAGTTGTCACATTACACAATTTTGTAACATTTTCCGAACTATTGGAAGACCCCACTCTTAAGCATACCTGAAGAAAGAAGCTTCAACAAAGGTTTAAAATAGTTTGCTTTCGCCATCTGTATAATGTTCTGATCAACGAAAGACAGATTTTCTAGAAGCTCGTTTACATCTCGGATGACTTGACTATCTTCACTGCTTAACATTGTCACTAGGAGAAGTATGCAGCCCTGAACATTTCCCATTAAATCGCGTGCAGCCCTAGTTGCAGATAGTACCAGTAACAACTGCAATGCTAACTTGCTTTCTTCATTTCTACGTGCAAGCGAGCGGACAATAGATTCAAGTGCATTATCCACTTTTATGATTCTCCCCTGTTAAAAACATAATGAACTGGATCATATATACGAAATTCGGGAATGCCAATTATTGCCTCTACCAAAAAACTATTACCTATGTATCATCAAATACAACATGACAATTAGAAGGTACCTTATTTTCTTCACCATCTTTTGCAAGGATCAATACGATGGCAAGAGCACGCTTTCTTATTTCTCGACTTTTCGAACCAAGAAGTCTAATGAGGACAGGAATGTAGCCCTCAATTGTCACCCATTCACGGTGCAACTCCCTTTCCATGTAAAAGTTCTGCAGGTTATCTAAGGATTGAAGCACTTCTTGCTCCTGCTCTTCATTTAACTGGAGTTTCGGTTTAATAGAGACGATTGCAAAGATGGTATTCCTTTCCTTCCATTCTTCAATTGATCGTTTTAGTGCTTTGTTGGGCTGTAGAACTGAAGTGTCCACGGGAATACTGGTCACAGGACAGTTAGTGTTACCTTCTGCAAACCACTTCTCTATCTCGCTTCTCTCAAACGTGTGACGAGAGGAGGTTTCCACGGGATCCTCCATGATATCATGACTCAATGGACATTGAAATTTCTGAAGAGGTTCCAATGGTTGCTTACCTAAAGAATTTCTCTTTTCAAAATACTCCTTCTCTTTGTCACCAGCAGATGAAGTAGCATTAGCCTTCTCAAGCAAAGCAATGATCTGTTCCATTGGCAAATCTTCTTCCAGGTCTTTTCTATTCGTATCATCCAATTCACGTTTGAACTCCTCGAGTTCATTTTCCAATGCAGACTGATCATCGGAGATCCCAAGAGCCTCAGCAATTCGAACAAGCAAGTTCTTTGCGCGGGACGGATCAGCATTCTGTTCTTGTATTCCTAGCTCAAGTTTGTCCACAATCTCTTCCTCAGCCACAGCCGCTCGATACTCAACATCCAGCATATTCTTGCACAGCTTGCTAATCTGACTACTTATACCAGATGAAACATCCAACGACGCCAATGGGATTAGACCAAGCGCTCTACCAATCTCTTTTGTGCTTCTCTCTAGGGCCTTAACAATATTCCGGCAATTGATTAAGAGATACACCTTGTTTCTTTTGCTGCAATCTAGAGCTAGCTGCTTCGCGACTTCACCCTCTCGATTCAGAATCTTCAAAGCATTAGCCAAGCTTTCGGAACACTCAATATTCTGCTTTGACAACTCTTTCAGAATAGAAGAGGTCGGCTCCAAGTACATTGACAATACTTTGAAACTTTCTTTCTGAACGAGGACTTCCTTTCCTACATGTACGGTCTCAAAGAGTAATTCAGACACCTGAACGAATGAGGCACTGATAACACTATCATTCGCCATTTCTTTGTGCTCGAAAAATCTATGGATATAGACCCTCAGCTCCGTCCGAACCAAATTTCAACCACGAAAGATAAGAAGCGGCCCTTTGCTGGAAAATGCAAGCCTGCAGCTAAAAAACAGCATCGAGAAAATATCGGTTCTCTTCCCAACCGCAAATTACACAGAGTTGACCGAAAGGAGCACCAATGCAAAGCGAGTACAATTTTGGAATTCAAGGAGCAAGGCTAAAAGCTAAAAACTAAAAACGAAAGCTAAAAGCTAAAATAACCCTACCAAGGAAAACGAAAGCTAGAAGCTAAAAACTAAAAACCAAGAGAAGCGAAAGCTAAAAGCTAAAAACTAAAAACGTAATGGTAATCGACAGAAACAGATTCTCGTATTTTTGTTTCATCAATTTATCCTCCTAAGTTGTTTCATGGAAAACATCTTACCAACTCCAACTAATCACATAATCACATTCAAGTTCAACAAACAAGTGAAATAAATATATAATGAATTTAAACTAAGTTAATTTGATCATGCATGCTATATATTATGCTCTAATAATTATTTAAGGGAAAAATCCTACCCTTTATGCAGAATTCCATTTCTTTTCTGTTCCCCTCACTTTCTCAGCAACCAAACAGAAATATATAACGGTTCTTAATCAAAGAGAGAGAGATAGAGAGAGAGTAGTTGACCTGACATTAGAAGCCAACAAATATCTTCACCAAGCATGCAAGTTTCCGCGAAAACCCAAAAACCACAATGCTTTCGAACTAGAGCATCTTCTGTTCAGAAGCACGCTCTTTCACTTTCATGGAGTCTTTTCTGTTTCCCTGACTTTCTCAGCAACCAAACAGAAATATATAACAATACGGGTTCTCAATCAGAGAGAGAGAGAGAGAGAGATTTGACCTGACATTAGAAGTCAACGAATATCTTCACCAAGCATGCAAGTTCCAGCGAAAACCCAAAAACCACAAAGCTTTGAAACTAGAGCTTCTTCTGTTCAGAAGCACTCTCGTTCACTTTCATGGAGTCTTTCTCCGAGTCCAGAAAACGAAAGAATAACTTGTTTAATCCGGTAGAATTATTTAATTATTAATTTTTTGTGTTTTTTCCAAGCAGCCTACGTCGAGCGGGACATGCTAACTGACGACCGAGTCAACGCTGTTCGCTGACCATATGCTCTGCGGGCCCATGCTGCGAGAGAGCCATGCAGATTTTGCCACGTCATCGTAACTTAACCTTCCTGCCTACGTTGCGGATTTGGGTCTCGCTGTTGTAAACAAACGGGGTAGGCTTGTAGTCCATTGGATTGCGCGTCTACACTATACTATCTTATTTTGCCGGCTGGCATTTAAACGCCTAAGAGTTAGATCCAAGTTGTGGCCAGCCATGTAACGCTTAAGCAGAGTAACGATGAACGGAGATTTTTAGAACAGTGATGGATGTGAAGGTATGAGTGTATCTTGTGTCTGTCTTAGATAAAATAGTGTCGTGACATGAAAACCTACTAAAAAATC